GGGGGCCTTGGGTGAGGGGCAGGTGCCAAGCGCAGCTGTGCCGGAGCTGCTCCGTGTCACCAAGCCGGGTGAGGGGGCGTCCCCCGCTGTCCTCTCCCCGCCAGGACCCGCGGGGTGGCAGGACGGGGACACCGGGTCCCAGCGGACATGAGTCCCCAGCTGGGCACTGGCCCTGTGGCACAGCCAGGACGTAGCCTTGGCCCTGCTGCCAGGTACAGGCAGGGATGTGCAAAGCAACTCTGGTCCCTGGCCCTGCCTGCCAGCAGGGTTCGGGCAGGGGGACACAGCAAGAGGTGGCAGTGCACTCCTGATGCATGACAGCCTCTGCTCAGGTGTGTCGTCCTGCCCGTCCCCTGCCCATGGCCTGCCTGTCCCTTGCCTGCTGGCTTGCTGCATGATGCCCAGCAGGGTCTCACTGCCTCCCCTTGCCCCCCCTTTCCAAGGGGATGCCATCCCTCATGGGGGACACCCGGCATCGTCACCTGTCCCCTCTCCCAGCAGGAGGCTTCCTCTGCCTGACGACAAGGAGCAACCCCTCGAACCTACAGTACAAGGCAGAGCTGGAGGCAGTGCTGGAGAGGCTTCAGGGAGCCTGGCGGAAGGTCCTGGCCCAGGAGGTAGAGCGCTGGGAGAGGGCCACCTCCGAGGAGGAGAGCACTCAGGGCACCGGCTACATCTCCGGTGTGGTCTATGTCTATCAGAAATGCCCTGTACTCTGCCTCAAGGAGGGCTGAGAGCCAACATGGCTCTGGGGAGGGGGATGGTGAGCACTTGGCCCCTTGTAAAACCCAGCCCTGTGACCCACTCCTGGAGCAGGGTGGCTGCTGGGGGGTGACAACTTTTTTGGGGAGCGCCCCCATTCCCTTCCCCAGCTCCTTTCCCCTGAGGTCTGGGCCCTGGGGACCTTGCCTGCTCCTCATCGTGGCGAAGGTCTCCTGGTTTCACCGGGGTCTCCTGGGCACCACCATTAGCTCTGACATTCAGGTGCTGTCCCTGACACCTCGGCCCTCGCTGTGACATCTCACAGACCCACCTGGCTGTTCAGAGCCATCTCCTGTTCGGGATGCCTTCTCCTCGCCATGCCCACCTCTCAGCCCTCATTGTCAAAATCTGGATCCTTCTTCATCTTCCCCACCCCAGACCCCTGTGGTCTTCATCTGGGGACTGTTGGAGGTGGGTCCCCATTGCCACATCCTGCAGTCCCTCATCATCCCCAGGAGTTAACCCAGCACACTCTGAGGTGCAGGAGACCTCCACATCCAAACCAGCAGCAGCTGTGCCAACACGATGCCCAGCCGGAGAAGCTTTCCAAGTGCCACATCGGCCTTTCATCCCACAACAGCTGCTTAAGTCTCTCATTTTCCTATCCTACAGCTTTGTAGTTAATGGTCTGAGTGGGAAATGAAGCTGGAAGGGACTTCAGGAGCCAGTGGCCGCTCCCAAGCCAGGAGCCGCCTGACACTGCCTGCCCAGCCTGTTCCCCAAACCCCTTGCCATCCTGCCTCCACCCTTCCTCCTCCACTGCTCCCTTGGGACATTTTTTACCCAAATCTCTTGCTGAGGTATTTCCTTTTTTCCTTTTCTCTTCCCCCAGACCTCTTCCTGCTCGCCCTGTTCCCATGTCCCTGGGGAACAGGTTACTTCCTTCCCCTCCAGAGCTCTTCCCCAGCAGGATGCGCTGACTGTGTCTGTCCCTGTCCCCCACCCGGGCCACTCACCCTCCCTGCAGCTCTTGTCACCCCTCCACATTGCCCCCCCAGATCTTGGGGTCCCTGTGCCCATCACGGGCAGCTGCCCTGCTCCCCTCTCCCCCCATCTGTCCCCAGCATTGTCCCCTGGGCAGTTGACGGTCATGGCTGTCCCCATCCCTGCGCTTGGCTGTTGAATAAACCCCCTGCGTCCACTGCCTGCCTGCTGTGCATTGTTCCTGGACCAATGGGGCTGCGGACCCTCTGGGGTGAGCAGGGGAGTGTGGCCAGGAGCCGGGGAGGGGTGATTTGGCCTTTCTCTGGGGTCCCCTCCCAGTCCCTGGGGGCTCAAAGGACTGGGCTCTGGGAGGCTGGTGTCCCCCCATGCTCCTCTTGGCTCTCAGCATCTTCTCCATGCCTCAGTTTCCTTGCTGGGGGATGTGCAGGTTGGACCCTGGCTGGCTACTGCTGCATTCTTCTAGGGACATGGGGACGTGTCAGGTGCTGGGGCAGCAGCCCCTGAGCTGGCAGCAGGCTGGCAGGGTGTGACACCCATAGGACACATCACCGTCTTCCCCTCCCTGCACCACTTTGAAATGAGCCCAGGCAGATTCGGTGGCAGTAAGATGTTTATAGTCCATCCCGAGCACAGCCCCTGCACACTGGGGAAGGGCACACATGAGAGGACCGTGCCGGGGGTGCAGCCAGCGTGGGGATGGGCAGGAGGAGGCAGCGCTTGGGCAGGGGGGTGGCACATGGAGACAGGACAGGGACGGTGGTGCTCTCCCTTGGGCTGGCACTGGGGCATGGTGGCTCACACGTAGTCTTTCATGGGGTAGCCCATTGGGCTGCAGGTTTTCACCGCTCTGTACTTCTTGGGGTAGGGCTCCTGCTGGGACGGGGGTCCCGAGCAGCACAGGATGCCCCCACCAAAAAGCTGGAGGGCACTGGAGGCCCAGCCGATGTAGAGGGCAGCCCCCAGCTCTCTCTTGAGGGCCTCGGGCACCATGGGGTTGTAGAAGTTGCTGACAATGCTGTTAGCAGACCAGGAGACAGGGATGAGCAGCATGATGCTGGCCAGGACGAAGATGGCACCTGCCACAATGGAGATCCTGGTCTTGGTGCTCTTGTCGTCCACGCAGCGGGTGCAGTCGGCACCCGAGATGGCGGTGAGGAAGGCAAAGAAGGCCACAAAGATGGAGGTGACCACCAAGGCACGAGCCGCTTGCAGGTCGGAGGTGAGCTCCAGCAGAGAGTCATAGACCTTACACTGCATCTGCCCCGTGCTCTCGTACACGCAATTCATCCACAGCCCTTCCCAGAAGACCTGGGCCACCACGATGTTGGAGCCAATGAAGGCTGTCACCTTCCACATGGGCAGCGCACAGGTGAGGATGGAGCCCAGCCAGCCCAGCACAGCCAGCATCAGCCCACCCAGCTGCATCGTCATCGTCGCCATCAACAGCACCTGCGGGGACAGGGCACAGCCGTCATGGACACCGCCCTGAGCCAGGGGGCTTTCTGAAGAGCATGGACTTCATGCTGGGTGTGTCCTGTTCCCCATCTGGGTAGGAAAGGCTGCAGACCAGCATGGGAACATGTGTGGCATGGGTCATGGCTGCAGGTCAACATGGGGATGCATGTGGCATGGGGCATTGCTGCAGGACAGCATGGGGACACGTGCGGCACAGAGCACCCAGGTGCCGAGGAGGCTGAGGTGCAGGAGCCCCCATGTATCATGTTAGCCCCTACAATGTCCCCACGGTACAGGGCAGCCCTCTGCCATCACCCTATCCCAGCTGGACCATGTGTGTGGCAAGTGTTAGAGAGGGGATGGCTTTTGGGGAGCAGGATGAGGGGCTCACTGTGCCCATCCCAGCATGCTCCAAAGCAGACTCCCACCCCCACCCTATGCTTACCCCACATTCTGCCATGGCAGCCGCCCCACAGCGCCCACCCCGTGCCCTGCTCCATTGCTGGTGCTTCAGCCTCCCTGCCCTCCCCGGCCACAAACATCACACCGGGGGCACAAGCAGGTGAGACAGCCCCCTGCCCTCACTGCAGCACTGGCTGCTTCCCGTTCAAGGGCAGGTTTTGCTTTGCCTTCAGCAGCCATGCTGCAGTGCCCTTTGGACCCGGGATTTCCTCTCTGGGGTGCTGGAAATGGGTCAGAGCTCAGGTCTGCCTCCGATCCTAGCTGTGGTGCTCAGCACTTTCAGTGATACCCACTCTTCCGTCACACCTGGAGCAGCACAGAGAGGGCAAACCCCCAGTGAGGGGCTACAGACCCCAGGGTCACTGCAGGCATCACTCCTGTGAGAGTGGCCAGTACAGGGGAACATGCCAGACATGCCGACGGCTCCACTGCAGTCACACACAGCTGCCATGACCCCAGGCTCAGCCCAAATTGCTGCTCAGCCCCACATGGTACAGAGCCCCTGTACTGCTATGGGGCAGAGTGCACCCGTGGGTGCTTGCATCCACGCTCAGCAGCTGGGACGAGCTGAGTTTTTATGAGCCCCGAGCGGCAATGGGATATCAGCTGTGCAGGAGGTTTCACCATAGTCTCTCCAGTCCTGGTTTTGGTTTCTGCGGCCTCGCCTCCCCTGTTCCGTCACCATTCCTTCCCCAGCACCTTTCATCCCTTGGCATCCTAATGGACACCTGGTGCTCGGACTTTGCCTCCCCTGGTCCATGAAAGCCCCTTTGAGCCAAAAATAAAGTGCCTTTCTCCCAGACAAATGGAGACCAGCCTCCTGAGAGGTTGGGGGGCCAGGATGATGGGAAGCCATCCTGGGTGCCCTTCCCCAGCCAGTGGGACCTGGACCACAAGAGACACCCAATGCAAGTCTGCCTGCAGTGGGGACAAGCGGTGGCCCCACAGATCCTGGCAGGGATGCTCACCGTGCATCGCACTCACATTTCCACTTGACCATCGGCACCACGGAGCTGCAGGAGCGCTTTCCAACTCCCAGCAAAGGGATGGGGGAGCTGGGAGCCCTTAAGCTCCCAGACCCAGACAAGATACCCACAGCCTCACATTTGCCAGGCAGCCAGCATCACCCATCATACCTGTGCACTGCACCCCAAGGCACAAGGGAAGGACTTTCCCAAGCTGGTGTAGCACCGTCTGCATGCTGGCACAGCTTGCCATGCCAGAAGCAAGATAGGCAAAATACCCAGTGTGGCCCACGCCAGCCCCAGGGTGCTCCCAGCCAGAGCTGTCGGGTGGCCCAGGGCCAGCACGCCCCGACCCACCCTCACCAGCACCAGTCACTTTCTTCCTGCTCAGGTGGGAAGATCACGCTGGGACAGGTGTGGGGCAGCCCCAACACCGCGTCCGGCGCCACCAAGGCATCATGCCACAGAGTCACCCCCTGGGGAGCAGGGGCCCAGGGTGGCCCAGGGAGGGGAGCGGTGGTGATGCCAGGGCTGGAGCAGGGGTCAGGGGGTGGCTAGGATCATGGGAGGCTCAGAAGAGTAGATTTGGGCGATCTCAGTGGGATGGGAGTCCACGGCACTGGAGCACCGGGCTGTCCCGCCACTGAGGCAGGTGTCGGAGAGGGTAAAGAAAACCAAGCACAGCAGGGTCTGAGCAGCTGCCATTTAATGCTGGAAGGCTGCAACATGGGGAC